ATTTCTGTCTTCTATCATGTTGTGAGCACATAAGTGGCATGCGCGAGCTATGCTAGACTTTTTTATGCTGTTAACCTGTTCTGTGATTTTTTGTGATGCCAAAAGGGGGAATATTTTAATTGAATAATAAAAGAGTGTGAAAGCATGAATGAATAATAATCTGAAACTAAAATACAGATTTAGGGGAAACTCATTCAGGGGGAACTCACAAAAGTTCAGGTACTGACTAAGGGGGAATGCAGAGTTTGAGGGGCGAACTTAAGGTCCTTCTGGTTATCAATCTGGTTCTTTGTGGCTCTTTCGAGGATTTTCAATTATAAGTTTGTCATCATCAAAAAGGAGAAAATTTATAGTTTACAACTACTTTGGTTATAAGTACTTTACTTTATGTTTTGATGATCTAACAAACTTACTATCCAGAACCAGATAAAGAACCTGGAACTTGTTACACATTTACAAGACCTCAAGATCACAAGGTTCCAGGTTAGGACCCAGCATGGAAATATGATTCAACTCCTCAGAATGGAAGGAACAGCTGAGGGACCAGGTCACTACCAGTTCTTGAGGAGACTGTACGAAGTCAACTCTGCAGTTGGAAAGTTTCTGCCTGCGCACGCTACAGTGCAGAACAGTGCTGCAGTCAACTTTCCAGGGAAGACTCTTTACCTACCTTGCTTGCATCATCGTAAGTGATGTCACACATGTATATATGCATTCAAGGGAGGTAGAATAAAGATACTTGAACACTTAGAGATTACACACAAGCTCACTCACGTGACTATTCAGCTAGCAAGTCTCACGTGCCTCAAGAACAAAGAACAAAGCAACTACGGACCAGTTCCCACATCGAGTTGTTGTGTGTCCTTAGTTGAGTTGTAAATTTGTAATAGTTCTTCAAATTGTAATTCCTATCTAGCTTGTTTAGAAGCACTTTATAGGAACATCTTTGTAAACCTTAAACCTGCGTGTTTAAGTGTTGGCTAGAGTTACTCAAGTTTTAAAGTCTTTGTAATAGAGTTATTACAAACTGGCTTGTAATAGGTGTATTACAAGTTAGTGAGGGATTAAGGGTTTAATTCCTAGGTTGCATAGGTTGTAATCTGAGAGTTGCTCAATAGTGAAGTTGAAATCCTACAAGGGTAGGTCGTGGTTTTTAATCCCGTTGAGCTGAGAATTTTTCACGTAAAATTCCTCTTGCCATTTAATTACTGCTGCTTTGTGTGTGTATTGTTGGACCTGATAGAAAATTTGGTTCTCTATAGAAGTTGGTGGACCCATATATCCTATCACTTAAGCATGTTTAGGTTGAAGTTTTAGCAAATGAACTAAAAAAATTCAGCCTGTTTAGACTAAAGTTTCGGATAAAACTCAGGACAAAGTTTTAGACTACGTTACAAAACTTCAGCATGTTTTGGTATGAAGTTTTAGCAAATGAACTAAATAACTTCAGCATGCATTAGCAAAAACTCTTTAGAAAATTACATACTGCAAGACAAAAACGTAAGCATGTTTAGTCTGAAGTTTTAGCAAATGAACTAAAAAATTTAAGTATGTTTAATTTGAAGTTTTAGCAAATTAACTAAATAAGTTCATCATGTTTTATCTAAAGTTTTAGGAAATGAATCAAATAACTTCAGCATGCATTAGCAAAAACTCATTATAAAATTACATACTGCAAGACAAAAACTTAAGCATGTTTAGTCTGAAGTTTTAGCAAATGAACTAAAAAACTTAAGCATGTTTAGTCTGAAGCTTTAGCAAATGAGCTAAATAACTTCAGCATATTTTGTCTGAAGTTTTAGCAAATAAACTAAATAACTTCAACATGTTTAGTCTGAAGTTTTAGCAAATGAACTAAAAAGCTTAACCATGTTTAGTGTGAAGTTTTAGCAAATGATCTAAATAACTTCAGCATGTTTAGATTGAAGTTTTATCAAATGAACTAAATAGCTTCAACATGTTTAGACTGAAGTTTCGGATAGAACTCATGGCAAAACTGTAGGCCGTAGGATATATAACTTCAGCATGCATTAGCATGAAGTTTTAGTTTCATATGAAACAACTTCATGTTACATTAGCATGAAGTTTTAGCTTCAACGTGTAACAACTTCATGCAAGTGTGATTCTGAAGATGAATATGGATAAGTTTCTAATTTTTGAAAAAGTTACTGAGAGGAGAGGAGAGGAGAGAAGGATATCTTTTTTCACGAATGAGGTTGCAGATCACGTGATTAATGCGTGATGCACGTTTTATATCTTTTGTGGGTAGTGTAATTGTCATATTATTACGAATTTTTTGTCAGCTGGCTACCAAATCAATAATGTTTAAAATAAAGTACAGGTTAAAAGGTGGCACAAATATAGGATACGGCTGCAAATCTCATGATCTATTTGAATTGCTGTTTATGGAGCCGCTACAACATAAAAAAAAAAGGTATCTCATTTATCTCGCTAAAGTGTATAAGAATTGGAAATTAGGCTTTATTACATTAATAAAAAAACAAATTTAAACGTCAACTATAAGATTTTTCTCAACATTTTCCTTCAAAAATTGAACCAAAATCAAAATTTCATAATTTTGGTCGTGCCAATGTGTGGCTGTCACGTAAATAAAAAAGGGGAAAAAGTTGAACTGGCGGTCACGTGCAGAGAGCGTGCGAGCAAGTACGAACCCATGTTCTGTTTAAGATGGGCCCACAAGCACGTTAGCCACGTGGCACAAGGGAAGTGGAGCCCACGAGGAACGAGGAATCCAACGTGGTGATGCCAGCTTGGCAATTGCCAGAGAATAGGCCCTAGGACAGAGGTCAGAAGACTTTGCTTAGGGATTTGAGCCTCAATATATATTTATTTTTTAAAAGCAATACGTAGCTTGATTCAGACGAAAGTTTTTTCCATTTAAAATACTTTATTTATAGTTGTTAAGATTTTGTCAAGAGACATGATTGTATATAATTATTTTAGTGTCGGTTTGAAAATCACATTGTAATTATACAATCTAGTTATTAAAAAGCATATAACTACAAAGTCACGTTATTTGTTTAAACAAAACTATAATATAATTACCTATGTCATGTTTGATTGTATAAATATAATTATATAAGTAAATATTTTCTATTCTAAAATAAAAGTGTAATTAAATTTTAACGTGTGACTAATATTTGTACAACAAAGACATGAATATGAGTGTTTATAATAGGAACTGAAAATACATATTTTTCGGTAAAATACATTAAAGACTTATGCATTTGACAAGTTGAGCAGGACAAAAACAGAGTACTTGGAGTGTTAGTTCAGTGTTGGAACGCATGAAGCAGAAGTGGAAGTGAAGCTTGATACGCAAGTCATCCCCAAGAGAGATAGTTTCAAATATATTGGGTCTATTATACAGAGTAACAAACAGAGAGATTGACGAGGATGTCACACACCGTATAGGAGCGGGGTGGTTGAAATGAGGGCTTGCTTCTGGTATTTTATGCGACAAGAATGTGCCATCTAGACTTAAGGGCAAGTTCTACAAAGCGGTAGTTAGGCCGACCATGTTGTATGGAGCCGAGTGTTGGCCAGTCAATAAATCTCATGCCCAGAAGATGAAAGTAGCAGAAATGAGGATGTTGCGATGGATATGTGGGCATACCAGAAAAGATAAGATTAGGAATAAATATATTAGGGACAAAGTGGGTGTGGTACCTGTGGAAGAGAAGTTGAGGGAATCGAGGCTGAGATGGTTTGGTCACTGAGAGACGCTGATGCCTTGGTTAGGAGGTGCGAGAGGTTGCCCGTGGTGAGTCAGAGGAGGGGCAGAGGAAAGCCTAAGAAGAACTGGGGTAAGGGGATTAGGAAGGACATGGCTTTGTTCCAGCTTACCAAGGACATGACCCTCGATAGAAAGGGGTGAGGTCGAAAATTAGGGTGGTGGGTTGATAGACAATCTAGAGTTTTGCCTTGTCTTATCAGTAGTAGTAGTACTAGTCGGGTACCTTCCTATTCCTTCTATACGGTATGTCAGCATTAGCAGTAGGATTGACACTATTCTTGTAGTTTCATATCCCTAAATCTCCGTCACTATTCGTTGGATTATTTGCTTACACTGTCTTATTATATTGTTGTTGCTATTGTTTCTCTATTGCTCCATTTTTTACGTTCTTGAGCCGAGGGATTTCGAAAACAGTCTCTCTACCTTTATAGGTAGGGGTAAGGTTTGCATACACACTACCCTCCCAGGCCCCACTTGTGAGATTCTACTGGGTTATTGCTGTCATCTCAAATAAATAATAATTTAAGTTGAAATAAATCATAATAAAAAATCTAATAACTGTTTAACAACTTACGTGAATATAATATAAAATTTATGATTTGTTTATATTTTTAAATTTAAAAAGAAGAAGATAAATATGATTTTAAAAAGGAGTTTTCTATAATAAACATTTATAGTACTAATTAATAGAAAATAAAACTACTTATGTAAAAGATACCAACATCACTATCAATCTATCTACAATATAATTTATACAGAAACTCGTTATTATGAACCTAATAATTTTTTCAAATTATTATAACAATCAACCAAAATTCTTCCGATAAAATAATTATTTCAATAAAGATAAAAAGGGAAGCAAATAGTAGCATAGCAATTAGCAAGTCATTGAGTACATTACTAAGGCCAATACACCAACCTACAAAGTACTTCAATTTGTATTAGTCTACTACTATTGCAGCAATAAGAGAAAAGATTTGAAAAGGAAGAAGAAATACGTAAGGACTTATAAAGTTACTAATACTACTGTTATCTGTAAAGGAGTAAGGCTGTGGCTTCAGGTTTAAAGAAAAATTTGACAAGATGACAGAAATCTTCCTTTACTAAAAGATAAATATCTGGAAAGCAAAAAAAGGAACAGAGTTTAGAAAGTCTAGATTAGATGATGTAATTACCACCAATTCTCACTTCTTCCTTGAGAATTAGAGATTGTAATTGCTTCCCCTCAATTATGGATTAGGGCTGATTGGCAAACATGTTCAGTATCTAGTCAACTGATTCACTCAAGAACGACAAAACATAACCAATGGATCATAGTTCTGGGCAGAAAATGAACTGTAGACATGTTTGGCTTGGCCAACAATGAGAAATAAAGGGATTAAAACTTAATGTTGACCCATGCTACCATGCAGCTAAGGTTTATTTTCATCAGCAATAATCTTTCTAACATCATAGACCTCGAATCTAATAGAGATTAAACTGTGTCTGAGACATTATAACAAATCTAGCCGATTATGGTAGTTCTCATCTTCTGGAATGACCAAAATCCTTAAAAGAGCATAGAGCAGATTAACCACATGCTAGAAGTGAGCAGATGAAGAGCAGCTCAGACTTGAACTGTGAAAAGAAAGGTGTAAACAGAAATGGATACTCATCAAGCTACAGTTAGTTCCTTTATTTTGCCTGAGGATGAGATGCAATGAAATCAACAGCTAAATTTATCGAGTGGATCTTGTCAGCTTCATTGTCAGGAATCTCAAACGCAAATTCTTCTTCAAGGGCCATCACAATTTCCACAGTGTCTAAACTATCTAAACCAAGATCATTTTGGAAGTGAGCATTTGGGACAACCTGCCAAGTAAATGAAAATGACATCTGTAAATATAATACTCAACAATACTACTTCATGAAACTACAAGAGTATGAAATGCAGAAAAAAAAAACCCGGAAAGATCCCAAGTAAACATAAATTAAAGACTACAAATTTGGACAGCCGTTTTTGTCAGAGAAATGAATATGCATCCAGGCTGAAACAGGCATTGTCAGTGGTCTCCACGAAGCAATACTTACGTGAACATCAGCAAGGCCATAAACAGGTAACAGAAACATTGATGGCATCACTAGCAACAAAAATTAACAAGCAGTCACGGACATTCCAAGAATGTGCTGACGTGAAATAGAACTGGATGAGGATTTAGGGAGATGGGATAGGCATGGGAACACAAGGGGGGAATTGTTGGCGTGGAGATAGTGTGCTAAGATGTTTCCTTCCCCAACATTTCGAGTGTCATGCCGGAGAAAGATGACTCTGCAACATATTCGTAGAACACATGAAAGACATGTGCATTGGGAATCGTGGTTAGGAGGAATCTTCAGAATTGAAAGATGAATGAATTTCAAAGCCTTGTGGAACTACTTCACAAGCACATCATACCAAATGATACGGCGAACTCGTGGAGAAGCAGGGTGAAGACTGAAGAGGGACGGTTTGTTTATAGTCGAATATTACAGTCATAGATTGCTAATGAGAGAAGATTCTGACTTCTCTAACCAAACGAATTGGATCCTTAGGACATCCAGGAAGGAGTTTTCTTCTTACGGGTGGCAGCTAGAGATGCGATACTGACAACAGAAACCTTAAAAAGAAGAGCATCGCTTATGTGTTGGTGCTTCATGCGCATATATTCGAGCCAAGACATAGATCATATCCTCTGCAGTACAAGGTGGCATTGTGTTTGTGGCGGCTTGCCCTGGATAGGTTTAGAATGCAGTGGGTGATGTCAGGCAACGTGAAGAAAGTGCTACATAGATGAGCTTTTAGAAGGACAAAGAGAAGGTCTAGAGCATGGATGTCCCGTCAGCTCTCCTGTGGGTTGTACGGATACTTGGATAGACAGAAACAGAAGATCCTCCGAACGGTAGAAAATGATTTAATTAATATCAGGGATGATTTTTTATGTTTCGGTTTCTCTTGGTGCAATCATGAAATCCCTGTTTATATCTAGACTGGGCATCTTTTATGAGAATCGTATTTTGAGTAAGTTCTCTACCTTTTTGGTATATGGCTTGTACAGGAGGTTCTCCATAATTAATAAATTATTAACCTTGTCCAAAAAAGCACAAGGGAGAAATTGTTCCCTGAAACTAAACATGGACACTTTTTTTGACAAGGGAAACTAACCACTAACACTACAATACATAATTACATTGAGATTTAACTATTGAAGTTTTCCTCTTAGATTTCTATTTCACATCCACATATTTACTGTTTACGTAAATGCGAGGGTAAAAAATCTAGAGTCATACTATGACAAGCTCTCCATTTCCTTTTTGTGCTCTTCAACTCTTCTATAAGTAAACTTCCTACTATAGAATGTTAGATTTAAGTTTTCGACCATTAGAGCTAAGAATATTTGCAGAGTTCTGCAAAAAAATTGGACATTGTCTACATCAATACAAATATCGCATGTATATTGTGTTTAACTCCGGTAAATACGCATGAGTAGCATTCATTACATTATCAAGTCATTAGCATATTTCTTCTCTTATCCACTCCTCACATGATAACAAAGCATTTGTGAGAGAATAATCCCTAAAAAGCGGTGCCATCATAATTCTCCCTATGATGCCCTTTGTCATAGACTCGGAACACCGCATTTAAGTTTTGAAATTGATAGAGATTCGACTTACTCTGACCTCTTTCTTTTCAACGGAGCTCATACAAGAATCCTTTTTTTTTGGATAATGAGAACTCATACAAGAATCCTATTCTTCAATGGCCTCAAAAACTTGTTGCTATGGAAGAAGTTTTCCTCTCTATTTGTTGTATTTCCTTGCTAGAGCTAGAGTTCATAACTTATAACACTTCACCATATTGTACACTAGACTTATACTATAACTTAATTATGCATAATAGATATAAGGACAAAATGCAAGTTACCTCCCCATGATATTTAGCAACTAGCAGATTAGCTTCCTACCTCATTGCTCATATCTCTCCGTCACTCTAATGACAGAGTGATGGCTCTTAATAACACTAGTGTAGAAACTACAAGGGAACAGTCTGCATCTTTCTCAACTCTAAAATCAGAGTCTATCACCATATTCTCTAGCTAAAAGATATAATCCCAAAATCCTGAAGAAAAATTACTACACTGTATGAGCCTAAAGGAGCACTAGCCTTACAATAAATTAACACCCAGTGGAGGAGCTAAATGGAGGGAACAGGATTCAATTCTTGGCAAAATTATACTGCGCAAATAGGGAAAAACTAATATTTTTGGATATATATATTTTTTGATGATAACCGTGGCGTCCGGCCAGCTTACGCGCACCTCAACTAATTCCAAGCTATGTTATTCAGACTCTTCAAAAATGTTGTTGGGTGTGTGTCAAATCCTCCAAATTTAGTGCATTTTTGGAAGATCCGACACGAGTGCGGCAACACTTTTGGAGCGTCCAAGCAACATAGATTGCAAGAGATAACTACTACCTCCTACCATCAACAGATACCGGGTTAGTCTGTCCACCAAGGTCTGGACAAATGAGAAAAATCTCCTTTTCTTCTTCCTCAAGAGCTTGAAAATGGGCTCGCAAAAGGGAGTGAGCTGTGCGATGAACCTGCTGATATACTACCCAAGAATCCTCCGCATCAATTGTACAATAAAATATATCTCGATTGGACTAAGGAAGAACAAAAAATCTTCGCTCAATGATTATTTAGTTTCTCCTGTTACCTTGTTTCACCTAGTATTTTGCAATCTCATGGTTCTCCACCCAATTCACTGGCCACTAGCCCAGTGCTATATTTTTGGATATTTATAAACCGTTCAATCCCCTCGATATAACGAAAATGTCTAGTGAAATGGAAAAACGGGTTCAAAAATTTGCTTTTAAGTCACAGGTTCAAGTTCAAATGACAAGCGTGACATTCTAGTATTTTTCTAAATCCCCTTGTATAGATTCCAAACTCCACTACTATTAATGCCCATGGATAACGTTAAAAACAGCAAACAGAAGTGTAATTCCCATGCCTAAATTAGCAGGAACCTGAATAAAACCCTAATTTCACTTCAAGTCATTTCCTGAGTAACAAATTATAAGTACTGTATATATATATATATATATATATATATATATATATATATATATATATATATATATATATTTATATAAAATGAGAAATGTTAGAAAAATTACCTTGGAAGGATCAACTTTTTGGAAGTTTTTGACGACGTTGATGACGCGATCTCTGACTTCATCCTTATCGAGAAATGAGCCTCTTACTTCGTCAGAGAACTGACGCCTGAAAAGCTGACTGAATGAGCCTCCAATTAGCCTAGGGTTTCGAAGTTGTGCCGGCCGAGATTCCACTCTCAGGTACTTCAACAGTGCGATTCTCGCCGCCATTGAGAATGATGAGAAAGAGAACGGAGAAGGCCAAAGATTTTGGAGAGAGATAAATAGCCACGTCAGAGATCTTTAGGCGGAGAGAGTAATGTGATTTATAACACGCATTCAATCAACGAGATTATAAATCGCAATAAGACGCATTCACAATAACTTTTTAGCTGTTATAAATAGAATTCTATTTATGGTGAATGTCCATATTTAAAAAGATTGTAGGGTTGATTGCTTGGTGGCTAAGTCACCCTTTCTCTCTACTTTTCTCTATAATACTCTTCTTCTACTTTTATTGTTTTATAACACGTTATCAGCACGAGACTCTAACCAATTGAGTAGAAGCTTTGGGATCGAGCATAATGATTGTCAATAGTTCTATGAACTTCCTTCATGATTAAATTTTGGATTTAATGTAAGTATTTTACCGTATTTTTAACTTTTATTCTATACTTTGATTTTATATACAAGCAAAGACAACAAAGTTTGATTATAACTCTAATAGGGTTTGTGAGAAATTACAACCACCTGAAGTGGTAAAATTTCTATGCCTTGCCATGATGAAATTCATGTATGATTGTGGGCAAACTATTGAAAACACGTCCCATTGAATTTGCTCCATTCTCATTCCCTTAAGAGAATGTGATAACAGTATGTGACAAGTCTGAAAGAAGACAAAATTATTACTATGAATGTATCAATAGATGTGGACGTGGCAATAAACGAAATTATAATCGTCATCATTGTGATAAGGGGAATAATAAGGATTCTCAAAATAATCTTTCACTTTGTGAATGTAATATTTGTCATTGATTTGACATGAGATTTTATAAAGCACATATAGATGATTATGGTCCATTCATGATGTGAATGTGACAACATCTGATTTATAAATACATATTCATTCTTGGAAGAATGTGAACGTGCTAGTGGTAGTGAATATACCACACTCACCTCTAGAAGGAGGTTTGGGATGATTAAGAAAATAATGTCATTATTATGGCATGAATGGTCATTGGTCACGTACCTATTGTACGTCAAAATATTTTGGTAATGTGATTATTAAAGAATAACATTAATGCAAGAAATATATCTTGTATATAATTTTGACCATAACCATAATGGTATAACTTTGTCTTTAAAAGAGATATCACCACATGGATGTTGATGAATCTGTAGTAGTACAAATTAATTGAGAGCTCTGGAAGAGCCAATTATTACTACTTTGGAGAAACACAATTAATTACCAATAAGGTATTGTGTTGTAGTAAGTCTCAAAAAAACTTATTCAGTTTCCAAAGTATACGCGAAAGCGGTTGATTATATTGAGACTATATATAAAGGAAAGATTTAATATCTTCTATTACTATAACTTGTAGCGGGGTAATATGTATGTGAAAAGCTACCCGCTTTATTCTCCAATTTGTACTACAAAACAAAAGAATACCACAATGAAGTGGATATTTATTGATATAAAAACCCATATCATAGTAAACTTGGAGTTTATTCATAATTGCACACATCATGGTGTAAACCTGAAATTTATCAATATTGATAATTTATCCAGTTGGCATAATTGGTTTAGCCATGTTAATTTAAGTATGATGTGCAAAAAAATAAAAGAGAATTCACATGGGTAAATATTAAAGAACTAGAAAGTTCTTTACGGATTCTCTTACGTTGCTTGTTCTTATTAATTAATAGACCAACTAAAATTGGATTGAATCCCATGATTGCTGGAAATATCCAAGGTGAATATGGGCCCATTCACCCGCCATGTATACCACATAAGATGCATCTATGAGATGGTTACATGTGCGATTATTAATAACCCGCAACATGGTGTTTTGCAAGGTAACTTGCTCAATAATTTAATTTCGAGCATAATTTCCAGATTTTCTATTCAGAAGTTCATCTTGATAAGTTGGCTTACATCACAGTTGGTTTAGCAAAATGATTTATTAAGTGCCTCTACTTAATAGCTAAACGATTGCTTATGAGAACAAAGTTATCTATATCAGTTTGATATAGGTTATATACGAAAGTATATTATTTTCTCCCCTCACAAGTGGTTCAAGGTCAGGAACCAAATAATTTTATCTTATTATTATTATTGATGTGCGGTGTATATTTTGATTAACACCATAACGCACAAAGGTGGATTCTCAAAGTTGAGGTACCAAGTTAGTTTTTCTAACATGAGGGGGAGACATGATAAACAGTTGAGAAAAAGTTACATGGAATGAATTATTATTTATACATCTCGATCCTCGAATAAAATAATACGAACTTGAAGTTCATAAAAGGATAATTCATTTGCAATATATTGCAAAGCATGCCAGATGCATTTGCTGACCCAAAGAAAGTAACTATATTCTCATTGCAAATGCTCCTATTAGAATAAGTCCTAGAAGGACAAAGTCTATAGCACGCTTAAAGCATATAGACAAATCGATTTCAAATAAACTTCTTGATAAAGAAGATGAGCAAATGATCAAAATGATCATAATAAACGAGGCAAGTGATCTAGAAGATTACATGACATAATACTTCATTAAATCTCAGGAGAGGTTTAGGTACCTGAATATATGAATGAAGAGATCTCTATGTTATATCTTTATGAAGAATAAGGAGGTTGGAACCGATATAAAATGTTTGTCGACGACATCTATAATAGCGCTAAATATATATGAGGATATTTAGTCTGGAGAAACAATTCAAGTAGAATTTGGTCTCATATGAAAGCCATGTAGTTCAAATACTTGAAAGTATAAAGTCAATGATATGCGCAATCAGTTTTCGATATCTTATATGTCTAGCATGACATGAAAGCTTGATATGCATCTAAAGTCTATCATATAGCTTATATGACTTAACAATCCCTGAAGGATTTAAATTGCTTAAAGCATATAGAATTCATGGTCATGAAGTACTACATCCTCAGTACAATTTATGCACAAATGTATCTTGCTATAACTATAGGCATGATAATATGATAGCAAGAGTTTTCACCTCTATGTGAAGATATTGAACTGACGATTCCAACAAGATCATATGAAGACAATTCATCTCTATCAAGAATGATGATTTCAAGGTGCAATATATTCATTCAAGTTAATATGGCTGATTTGTTTATCAAATATCTACCAAAGATCTTTTGAAGATGATGCACAAGATTGGAATGCAAATGCTCAAGGATGTGAATTGATGCTCTCATTAGGGGGAGTTAATATGCGCTGTACTCCTTTTCCCTCACAAGGTTTTGTCCCGCTGGGTTTTTCTTGCAAGGTTTTTAACGAGGCAACCAAAAGGCGTATTGTTAGATATGTGTACTCTTTTTCCTTCTCTAGAATTTTTTTACCACTGGGTTTTATTTTAGTTAAGGTTTAACGAGGCACATTATCTGTTGAATAGACATTCAAGGGGAGTATTATAAATAGAATCCTATTTATGGTGAATGTCCATATTTAGAAAGATTCTAGGGTTCATTGCTTGGTGGCTAAGTCACCCTCTCCCTATAAATAGAGGGTTCTATTCCATTGTAATTCATCCTAAATCAATAAGAATTCTCTCTCTCTACTTTTCTCTGTAATACTCTTCTTCTACTTTTATTGTTTTATAACATTAGCTGAGTTTTTGCCCCCTTTTTAATTTTCATTTTGGACTTCCTTATTAGTTCCATAATAATATAAATATCCTTTTCAAATCTTACTCTTCATTTATAATGCTTCGATAGAGAATGACTTACCAAAAAAAAATATGGATTTCTCCGATATAGAAGAATGAGTTATTCTTCGTTATTAGTATTTGTACCCGCGCGATGCACAGATCATTTGAAAGATATTTATATATATATAAGTTTCTATAAGGTGAATTGTATCGGCTGTCTCTAACACTCTATAAGTTTGTTGTCAGGGGATAACCAATCCCCAAGAGCTATTACAACACACTTGAGAAATGTAATTTCAATCTTTGGCTTTAAAAGGATAATTCCACCTGGTAATGCATAAATTTTTACTCGAGTACAAACAAAAAGGGTATCACATTTAGTTCTTAAACCTCAAAAAAGATATTGATTATCTTTCGAGTGTCAGAAGAATCATTCCTCGAGATGTTATGACAAAAAATAATGAAAACTCCATGAAACATAAAGCGAAAAATCTAAGCAAAATATAACTCAAAACATCAATTTGTAGAAGTAAAAACATAGCAGAAACCACTGTTTGAGGAGCACAAAAATTGTTCCTTTTCACAAGATTTTTCTTCCACCTTAAACCCACACAAACCAGCTTTAAACTGGAACTTAGAACAGCCGCAAAATACTCCAAAAAGCTGAGAAAATAAGCATCAAACAGTCAGAAACGCTGCGACTTTCTCACCTAAAGACAGTCTAAAAATTCCAGCTGAAACCTGCTGCCGATATTGCTGAAAAACAGTAAACAAATTTGGACCAAGAGTAGCCAATACCTAGCAAAATACGGCTATAAGATCTGCCGCCAAACTCACTCTAAAAAGTCAGTCAAAACAGCCCCCCGTAAGTTCCGAAAATCAGCCTAGATCGCAGCTTAAATTGTTCCAATACGCAGCAGGAAAACGATATGTAAATATCCATGAAAGCTAACCTAAAACCAGCCCCAAATAAGCTACGGAGAAAAAGGTGTACGATGAAGTGAAGGTGTGTTTATCTAACTCTTTTTTTTGGTTTGAGACTAATCATCACGAATGAATTCTGTGTAGTTCTCTTATCTTTCTGTTGCATTATATTGTCTTGTAGGTGCATTCTCTTTCTTCCATGTTTTCCCTTCGCCTGTTTGGTCTCTTCATAAGCAGATACTTACTTTATTGACATGATTTTTACTTCATGTGCTTACTAAGTTATAGTAGCTTTCAACCTTCATATGAGACGAAAGGTTCACGTCCCTGATGTTAATTTCAAAAGATTGTCTTTAGTACCTGTGAAAGGCAATACAAAAATTCAGTAAGGCGTCACATTTGTACTTCGTGCTAACACAGTTTATCAAAATGACATTCTCAAAAATAATATTAAGTAATGAGTTCATCATATGAAAGTAGGATCAGATATTCGTTGCAGAATGATTGACCTGGTGTATATACTC